TGGAATTAGACCCCGATTAAGCCTTGCCTCTGGTGCTGTTATTGACCTCTGCCTGTTTGACTATTTTCTTAATAAACTTACGCTGCAAATGGATCATTCTGAGACTGGTGATTCGCAACAAGAATGTCTTCTTACTCTTTACTGTAGTTTAATTTATCCATATCTCGCATATTGTAATATTGTTTGGGCAAGCACTTTTCCTACTACTCTTCAAAAAAGATGTATCCTTCAGAAACCTTTTGTTAGGATTGCAACCCGATCAAATACATATACTTCATCTGCGCCTTTATTTCAGAAACTTCAAGTTCTTATTAATATCAATATTTCTCAAATATGTGTTTTCATTTATAAGATATATTCAAGTTAAGGTAACAATCCAGAGCAATTTAAGATGTATTTTAAAGTAAATTCACAGGTTCACTGTCACTTAACTCGTCAATCTACAGATTTTCATCTTCCAAAATTTCTCACTTGTAGAGGTCAATACTCAATAAGATATTAAATTATGGAATGGTTTATCCCATCTAGCAAGAAAATGTTCATCTTTAATATATTATAAAAGATGTATAAAGGATCATTTAATTGTTGCTTTGTAATTGTGTCTTATATATTTTCCGTTGTTGTTGTTTATGCATTTATGAGCCCTACAGGGTTTGTTTTTGGTATGTCAATTTTTGGGGGGTTTAGATATATGTTGTAATTCATTTGATTCAGTCATACATTTATATATTTGTTATTATAGTTTAGCTCTTTCTTTAATTTTAAAGTTTCTTTTTTTCCTTGTTGTTTAAGGGGAGGCTTTAAATAAGCCCTTTTGGGTTTTCTGCCTCTCCCTGCACAGTATTTGGATAGTATTTTATTGCTCTTATTGTATATATATAACATTTGTGCAAATAAAATTAAACTAAACTAAATTAAACTCTTTATACCAATGTGTTTTAGTGTCAAATGTGAGGCCATCTGTCCGACAGCTAAAGCTTGGCCAAAATTCGGTCATGCAACAGGACAATGATCCCAAGCAAATCTACAACAGAATGGCTGAAAAAGAAAAGAATCAAGTTGTTGCAATGACCCAGTCAAAGTCCAGACCTCAACCCAACTGCCCACAAACCTCAATGAACTGAAGCATCGTTGTAAAGAAGAGTGGGCCAAAATTCCGATGCGAGAGTGATACTGAAAATTATTCCTTCAACTTATTGCTGCTAAATGTGACTCTACAAGCAATTGAACCATAGGGTGTAGTTTGTCTTTTTGTCTTTATTTTTGTTAAATAAATAATGACACAGTGTAATATGCCATGTGTTGTTGTTCATCTGAGGTTGTATTTAAGAACTGCTAACTGTCACGGGTTGGTTGCAGCAGAGATGAAACAGGATCTAAGGGCAGCTGTTTTATTCAAAAACAAACTCAAAACGTCCAAAACAGAATCTCATGAACAGAACAACCAACTTGACACAACGCAGAACTGACAAAGAAATGGAAGCTTTAGCGTTAAGTTCTGCCAGGAAGACTCAATTGCTACGTCACTTATTACCTTCTCGTCTATCCAATCGTGTCTAATACTTGCGGTATAAAAGACCGGTACTTACACATGTTTGAGTTCGCAGATGCTGACGCTTTCATTTACCTCCATCCTCCCCACCACCACCAGGATGGTCCCTTCCTATATCTCCCAGGGGGTCGGCTGCGCCCCTGCCTTCGTCTTCAGGCAGGAAAAGCAGAGTCCGGACCCTCGGATTGCGAGATATGGACCGGGCCTACGCTGAAAAACATTATTGCTTGCTGGGCTATCAATAAATGTATCTATTGTTACAGTATTTATTCTCCCGAGTCTTTCTGGTAGAACTGATACACAGGGCTTAAATAGACAGAAACTGAGGAGCTAATTACCAAGACTCCCTTGGACAGAACTAACAATCAATTAGAAACCATAGTGACAAACAGGAAGAGAACTGAACCAATTAACAGACTGAAAACCAACCTAGAAACAGACATGAGCAGAACAGATTAAAAACAAACTCTAAAGTGAACAAACAAACACAAACCATAACACCAACAACCAGATGATTTTTATTATGTTTTGATACACAAAACCATACAATTCTAAATAGTGTCCTTTCTTTTCACATGACTGTATGTTCACCACATATATATTTAGATATTTATAATATTATCCTCACACATGCACCTGACAGATGTTAAATGGTCTCCTGTGTATGATGACATTGTTCATCATTATACTGTGCTATCTCTTTTCAATGTTGTTGTTAGACAAAACTTTCCCTCTAGGGATCTATCTATCTATCTATCTATCTATCTATCTATCTATCTATCTATCTATCTATCTATCTATCTATCTATCTATCTATCTATCTATCTATCTATCTATCTATCTATCTATCTATCTATCTATCTATCTATCTATCTATCTATCTATCTATGGTTCATACCATTTACATTACCTGAGCAGTCGAATTAAATACGCTAAAACCACGATCATTCAAGACGTGCATTTATAGATGAATAACATAATGTGTTTAAATTGCACACAGTTCAGTTGAATGATAACATTTGCCCTTTTTAATGCTGTTAATCTGAATGTACAAAGCAATCTGTTTGCTGAAATTATCCTCAACAACAACACTGACATATGGAGGGCACAGTATAGCCTATCTATCAATCAATTGTGTTATATATACAGAGGACAACTTAGTGTTACAAATTCTGACAACGGAAGAACAACAATGAAACAAACAGGGTTAACAGTCGGGAAAAAGAAGAGGAGTAAGTAAGTGTGTTGGAAGGGTGTGGAGGCAAAACAGAGGAAGAGGTAGAAGAGGCCAAGATTGAACAGATGTTATATTGTCCACTATTGTGGACCACGTTCTCGATCATGACCTTATGGCCGAGGCGGGTTGAAAGGTGCAGCTGAATGTTGGGAGAACAACCGTTTCCTCAATCATTCAAACATTTGTAGACAGAACATGTAATCAGACAATGTTCACTATACTGTAACACTGTACTGTAATGCTACATTACACTAGTCCAATTGCATTTTACATTATAGTATACTTTATAGAGACATAATGTAACACACACACACACACACATACATACATACAGTATGTGTGTGTGTGTGTGTGTGTGTATATATATATATAATTATATATTGTATATACATGTATATATACACTGAACAAAATTATAAATGCAACACTTTTGTTTTTGCCCCCATTTTTCATTTAGACAGATGAAGCCGGATACCTGGGTTCGAGGCCCGCACATCGCGGGGCGAGTAGGACCCGGGTGGAGGGGTTACATATATACATATGAATAGAAACATCTCTACAATCATGGCCTCTTGCTATATATATATATATATATATATTTTATATGTAGCCTATTGTCTTTTTCTTTATATCGCAATGACATTGTACTGTAATTTATTGGCAGATCAACAATAAAAATTTAACTGTGAATCCTGTCCAGTCTCTTGCAATCAATATAGTTTTCATCTGAAAATGCTGACAGAGTACACAGTTAAATTGACAACATGACTAAGCATTTGCATCTTGTTTGTGAACAATGACACAAGGACTTGTCATTCTGATGGCACTGATATGTTCATTGACATAATAAATGCTTACTTTTGAGAGATGGACTAAAGATTTTGAGCAAGTTACAGGCTTTTTCAGGTAATCCATTGTGTGGTGCCGTTTGTACACATTATATTGAGAAATGCACCTACTGGTTTGTAAATCTTAAGGATGATTCAAGAAATGTACCAAAGCGACTGAGAAAAACTGTAAATAACCTTAAAATGTATCTCGTATGGTGTTATTTAATACATTTTATTTTATTTTAGAGCCCTATATGCCCCATCATACCCTTACTGTGGAGTTTGTGAGTTTGTGTGGTGCATTAAACACAAAATTCCTGTCAACCCAAATTTACAATAATAAAAAAAAAAAGACATCACAAATACTGTCCTGTCCAGATATGAATGGTAACACAAATACTGTCTAAATATGAAGGCCACACGAGACATGGAACGTTTGCCAAATTTGACCTTGTTCGTTTGCCTTCAATCTGTTGAGACCTCGAAGCAGCCAACAGATGGCAGCAGTGTATAACTGCTATGAGATGGCTTTTTAGCCCGATGTTACTTTTACACTACAGTCGTTTCGAGTTTAATGGCATTAACTGACATCAGGTTAAATATGTGACAGACTATCTGTGATTTATTGGTTGATATGTGAGGAACCTATATAGTCACTTCCTGTTACATTAATATTTTTATAACTCGGTTCAAAATGAACAAAAGGAAACTTTTTTTTTAATATACTATAATCTACACTGTAAAAATGTTAATCATTTTGTTACAATAATTTAAAAATAAAACTGCCACAGTAAAAAAATGGATCTACAATATGATAGCCTACCTACAAATTTAAATAGAAAAATCAAACGTATTGGCCATTCAAAAGTGATGGTTTTCATTACCAATAAATCATAGATTTATATTATTATGGGCATTCCCAGAAGTCTTGGCAGTAGGTAGCAGAAGCTAGACCTATTTGGCCTTCCATACAAACATACTTTACGAACAGTTCTTAATAGCATAATTATAATACATTTGTAAATTAACATAATATAATTGTGCAATTATTATTATATATTTTTTTGACTTAATAAATAAGCTAATAATAATAATAATAATAGCCTAATAATAATAATAATAATAATAAAAGTTAGTGCTCTTAACACAATTATGTATGGTCTGTGTACTTGATATAGGTGTGATTATTTTCAGAGATGAGATGGCATTAGGTATTTTCCACAGATGTGACGTTATGATGTGTGAGTGAGTAATTAAACGAAGGTATTTTGTTGACATCAGCACTGCGCCAAAACGGACAGTTCCATCCGCTCGCTGCTGCCGACCTGAGTATGAAGGACTGAGCACGGGCAGAAAGCACTCTTTGCGCTTTTAAAAGTTAAAAATAACCAATAGATCAGGTGTTGTCGGATTTCTTCGGGGTCTGTCCATCTAAAACATCTGCAGTGATGTTGAATGCGAAGAGTAGCACGGACCCGTAAATTATTGATTGGGACGGTCCTGGTATAAAAGGAGACGCCGCCTGTGTTCTGCTCTCTTGTCTGCAAACGCCACGATGAGCTACGGATCCGACATCTACTCTGCCTCTTCCTACCGGAAGATCTTCGGGGACTCTACCCGCTTCTCAGCCTCTCCATCCCGGATGAGCAGCTCCCGGAGCGGGTTTAAGAACCAGTCCGTGACCCGCACCAACATCCCAAGCTCCTATAAGCGCTCCACCCGATCTGCCTATCCATCTTTGACGCTGGAAAGCTTAGACTTCACCCAGAGCACAGCGCTTAACAATGAGTTCAAAATCATCCGTACCAACGAGAAGGAGCAGATGCAAGGGCTCAATGACCGTTTCGCGATGTTCATTGATAAAGTTCGCAATTTGGAGCAGCACAACAAAGTGCTGGAAGCCGAACTCGTGACCTTGCGCCAGCGCCAGACAGAACCGTCCCGTTTGGCCGAACTATACCAGCAGGAGATCCGGGAACTGAGGTCCCAACTCGAGGAACTCAACGCGGAGAAAAATCAGATGATGTTCGAGCGCGACAGCATTGAGGAGGAACTTCAGAAACTCCAGGAGAAGTTCGAGGAGGAGATGAGAATGCGCGAGGAAGCGGAGCAAACGCTTAGAGTTTTCAAGAAGGACGTGGATAACGCCACCATGGTGCGCCTAGACCTGGAGAAAAAGATCGAATCCCTTCTGGACGAGATCAACTTCACGAGAAAGTTGCATGAGGAGGAGGTGGCTGAGCTCATGAACATGATCCAGGCTGCCCAGGTGTCCGTTGAGATGGAAGTGGCTAAACCCGACCTTACCTCCGCCCTTAAGGAGATTCGAGGCCAGTATGAGGTGATTGCGAGTAAGAACTTGCAGTCCGCTGAAGAGTGGTACAAGTCAAAGTTCGCCGATCTTAGCGAACAGGCCAACAAGAGCAACGAGGTCATTCGCGCGAGTAGGGAAGAGCTCAACGAGTTCAGGAGACAGGTGCAGTCCAAGACCATTGAAATCGAGAGTTTAAAGGGAACCAACGAATCAATGGAAAGGCAGATTCATGAGATGGAGGACAGTCACAACGCTGAGGTCATGGGTTACCAGGTTGGTTTCCTCAATTTTGATTTTACGCGTGTTCAACTGAGTTAAGGCAAACATGTAAAGAGTTTTTTTTTTTTAAATGATTAAAATACTGAGGACATTGGCGCTTTGTTAAAACAACCCAAAACAAATAAATAGCCAAACAAATGTTTTTAAAAATAAAATATCAGCGCTTGAAACTTGTGCTTCTGTTAACCAAACAGCAGACAAAAGATCCATGTGAAATGGGCGTGACCACAGCAACTGACTGTGAATGTTACTGCTCTGTCCATGGTGCTAAAATGAACCACTTCCCAGAAATAACTAAATCAACAGCCCGTATTAGATATTTTATTTATAAGGTTTTCCAAACCTTTTAATATAAGTTATCATAAAATAATGATAACAACGTGTTATTAAATAATGAATAAGTGATTTAGCCCATGAAAAAAATCTAAAAGCTTTTCCACAAGCAGCAAATTCTTTCTTTCTTTCTTTCTTTCTTTCTTTCTTTCTTTCTTTCTTTCTTTCTTTCTTTCTTTCTTTCTTTCTTTCTTTCTTTCTTTCTTTCTTTCTTTCTTTCTTTCTTTCTTTGCATTGAAGGTTCCATAAAGATCCTTCAAAATTCATGGAACCTTTCCATTGCACAAAACATTCTTAATAGTGGAGAAAGTGTTCTTTAGTTTAGATTATTAAAATGCTCTTCACACCAAGAACAATTGTTCTTTTGAGAGCTGCTGTTCACTGAAAGGTTTTTTGGGGAACTCAACAATGGTTCTTCTATGGCATCACTGCGAAAACCTCTATTTTCTTTTAAAGTTTAAATATGTCTATCATCCAATCAAATCATTAAGTCTTTTTTTATTATAACTATATCATGTAACATCACACAGGATTCAATTGGGCAGCTGGAGAATGAGCTGAGGGGCACTAAGAATGAGATGGCCCGTCACCTTAGGGAGTACCAAGATTTGCTGAATGTCAAGATGGCTCTTGACATAGAAATTGCTGCTTACAGGTATAAACAACTGACATGTGACATGTGACAATTGACGTGTATGTGAATGCTATAGTGAAATGTCCATCCTGTAATTTGATCTATTTTTATCAACATACCTAAAATGAAAATTGTGAGAATTCCTCTTATGACATCTACTGATGTGATTTTCATACAGAAATGTATTGCTCTTTCATCCCACCTTTTCCACCACACCCTTCCTCACCACCTTCTCTTTGTTCACCCTCTCCTTTATCGCCCGTCTCAGGAAACTGCTGGAAGGGGAGGAGACACGTATCAGCACTGGGATCAACTACCCCACCCCCAGCTCGATGTCTGGCTACAGCTACCAGTCCCGTATGTATAGCAGCACTAGCGTGAGCAGAAAGAAAGAGGACAAGGATGATGACGACAAACATCAGCAGAGCAGCAAATCCGTCAAAGGCTCCTCCCAGTCTGACGACTCCAAGAAGGGTGACAAGATCGACTCTGGAGACTTGAATCCCACCAACCAGAAAAACTAAATGTCTCACCCCTCTTACTTTCATCCTCTCCTCCCTCTGCCTTCTCCATTACTCTCTTTCCTTTTCCCAAATAACTCAGATCCCATCCACAAAGGGGTCTCAGAGAGGAATCTAGTGTTTTTCAACTTATTCTCCACTAATTAGCCTCCCACTCAGTCACAGGCCAGCAGTCCCTCAGTAGCAAACCACTAACTAGTCAAGAAACCCCAGGCGTCACATTGTTTGATGCATATATTTCTGTGGATGCACTGTTTCAGAGTCATATCACTCCTGGTAACTGCACTGTAATGGGTTTCTCTCAGCACACTCCGTTAAGGAAATGTTTAAGTGTTTAGCTTTGGTGAAGGTAGCTTTTTGTGCTGCAGTTTTCCCAAAAGCCATCACAAAACTTGTCTTATAATGTAAGCATAAGAAATGACAAAGTAATTATTGTTGTCTTTGCATCATGCCAGCCCTTGTAACAATTGCATCTGTTTCTTGACTCCAGTTAACTTCTTGGCATGCTCATGCATTTCTGCCAATAAATAAATACAAATCCAGAACTTTACATATCTAAAAACTCCACTCAGCCAAATTCCTCTCCAAGACTGCTCTTAGTTCATTTTTAAACATTTATTACAACCCACACCCACTTACCCTTTAAACATGACAAGGATTTGAGCCTAATAGCAAGTCCTCACTGCATGAGGTGTGTCTGCTGTTTGCATGGTGACTGTATGGTCCAAGTTTACCAATACTTTCATAGCAGTGTGCCTGCCATCCCTCTCAGTACTTAAAGGCCATGGTGCAGGTTTTTTTTTTTTTTTTTTTTGCCAGTTTTCTAGTTGGTAATAAACATTTAAACAGTTATCCTTTGTATTTTATGTTGTAGGGGATTACAAAAAAGAAATATAATACGGAAAAGTCGGTGATGTGTTAGCATTTACCACTAGCCTAGCGAGGATTCTAATTTCTCCCACAATGCATTGCATGACGTCACATGAGGTACTCGCTGTTGGACAACAGACGAAAGCCCGCGAGTAGTAACTTAGCTAACGGTAGCTAGTGAAAGAGTGACAGTGTCAGATAAGTAAATATATCGAGATAGATAGATAGATAGATAGATAGATAGATAGATAGATAGATAGATAGATAGATAGATAGATAGATAGATATCATAAGCATAACATAGATAGATAGTGAGAGATAGCATAGCATAACAGCTTAGAGAAGAGTAAGCTAGATAATAAGTAGACAAAATGGTTTATTACTGTGTTTGTGGCGGGTGCAAAAACTTTATCAAAACTGGACATGGGGTCCATTGTTTCCCCAAGGACAAAGGGAGCTTCCGAAGCTGGGTGCAATTTGTCAAGATTAGGCGAGCAGATTTTTCAGCTAAGTTAGCTCTGTCGCCGCCTACTCGAGAATATGCAGCGCGCATTTCAAAGAGGAGGATTAATTTACCACGCAGGGGATGCCAAGATGGTCTCACTTAGTTTAAAGAGTGAGAGGATGGCTAAGTTACTTCCTACCGCCGTGCCGTCTGTGAATGCAAACCTCTCTGCTTGCCCTGTCCCGAGGTCGAGAGACACCGTCTGCCGCAAGCGAGATATTGCCACGGTAAGTTCATTCTAACGTTAATGTTTACAAGCTGCGTGTTAGCTAGCTCTGTGTGTATTTTGTATAGCTACCGTGTTCCCTTTGACACAGCCTCCACTACAAGCACGATCACTCTGACATTAGAAGAGCATTTTTCGTGATTCACGAATTTGAGCCAAAACAAAATTGCCCTGAAGTAAATGTCCATATCGTCATGAAAGCTTCATGGCTAGTGTTTGGATCAGTGGTGATGATCATCAAGCGGCTTTCGCAATCGTGTTTGCTTTTTGTGTTAGACTGCTACGGTTCTCTTTCACATTTGACCGTGACCGTGTCGTCAGGGCTGTAGTGGAGGCCAAACGCAGTTTACCCACCGCTGAAATTATGTCAGAAACAGTTTATCCACTTCTCACTTCAGAGTTTAGCTACCTCTCAGTAAATTCACTACCTCGTAGAGTTTATGTAACTTTACCACATGTATTACCACTAGTATTGGTGTAAACATTTAATTGTAACATTCAAATCATCAAATATGTTCTGAATTTCTTTTATGTATTTTTAAAACATTTAGTAGCGCATATCAGGGTCCACTGTACTGTAATCTCCCTGGCAATCTCGTAACATTCTGTTTACTGTTTATGTTTGCTATAATTCATATGCAGGACAATTTCATGTGTTTCCATTAGTGGCAATGATCTTTATACAGTATTATTATTATGTCTGCAGGTTATGCAACATCATTAATGAAGGCGCTTCGGGAAAGCTACACCAATCCACCTGCAGCTCTTCGAGAGGTTAGCGCCAGTTTGTCCTGATGCACCCGCCCCCATCGCCACATCCTTCAAACTGGTTCCTGAGGAGGCCGTCAGCCTCTACCTAACCCGGCAGTCACGCTACAAGAACCTAATTTCACATTATTTTCTTTCCACAGACAAGTCCAATGATTTAGTTGTAAGTATTCATTTAGTGGTGGTTTCCTGCATTCTGCATGTTTTTTTTTTCTTTGTGTGCTGTTGCTTTGGTTTTACTTTGCACAAAATCATTACTTTTTTTCTTAGGCTATTGATTCCCGTGATCCTGCTTATAAATTCCGATTCAGCCATTAGCCTACCTTCGTGATCACGCAAAGAGGTCTGGAGAGGCGGTCCGTTCAGAATTACAACCAACATAAAATATAAGTGTGCATGTACAAATTTGCAGTAATGTTCGGTAAATATAAACTATATATATATATATACACACACACACACAATTCATTTACTTAAATGGGTTAGGGTTATGTGTGTATATATGCATAGGCGTACAAACATACATACATGCATATGCTATGCATATATATTATAAATAATATAATATATACTTCAGGTTACCAGAAGTTAGCTAACTTTAATGAAGAGTTGGTCATGTGAGCTATAGCTAGCTGCAAGTAACCCATTATCTTCCAATAAGCATTAACTAAAACTGGCTACATAAAATATACTGACTAGATTCACGAGAGGTCGGCTAATGTGTGTAAAAGTAAAAAAAATACAGTAATTTCATTATTTTACCAGCGAGCGTACTTCGGAAGCACTGAAAATGAATGGGGTTCAATGCTGGAACTATCAGTGTTTGGAACTATCGGCCGCTCCACGACACGCGTTACTTGCGCATTTTTAAGTTCCTATGGCGGTCTATGGGAGTGTCGCAACTCTCTCTCTCTATGGCTCTGTCTGGACCACACTATTGCAGGCAAAAGAAACAATGTGCAAACGTTTCAGGTCTAGCCCTACATCAGTGGGCTTTTTTTTATATAGATTTGTTTACTTGCAACCTGTGTCTTTGTTCAGTAATCTTTGTCCTTGTTCAGTAAATGTTTAGTAACTATTACAAGCAATGCCAATAAACTGTTTTTTTTCTTTCTTATAGAAATTCATGTGTTCTGTGTACTTTATAACATTTTGAGGGCAAATTGGGCGATCACAACAGAATAAGCAATTATTATTTTTATACATTTTCATCCAAACGAGGCGATTGAAAGCCCTGATAGGTCTGGTCACGACTTTGGAATTGTTGTCTGATGGTTGAAACCACACGAGAGGCTTCTTATACTCCTGCCTAAAACTCCATAAGCCCAGGCCAGCGTATAGCCTGCCTGTACGCAGTGTACCGGTATTGCCTAGGGATAAGTAGGAAAGATTCTTAAGTTTTAAACTCTGTAAGTAGGTTGGAAACGTCTCTGATGCATGTTTATTGTGTATGCAACACATCTCCTGTCACCTATAGCTGTTGTTCAAAGGACTCCGTGTAAAAAATAAAAAGGTAAAGTAAACATAAACCATGAACATACTCGTGCGTGCTGGCTTGAAGGGGACCATTATCCTGCATGAAGTGTGAGTATGCTATGTGTAGCACAAACGGATTCAGGCATTAAGCCTCATATCCAGGATGCTGCGTTAGGCACGTTACAACTGCTGGCCGCGGGGTGAGGTCCTCGACCAGCGACCAAAACGCGCTCACCTCCCTACAACACAAGCTCTCCACCACAGTTTCCATGGGACGACACCGCCCACAACTCACTCCCTCTCCTGGTAAGCCTGACGGTGTCAATGACAGTCATGAGGAAAACTAGTTAGCACTATCAACAATAATCACACTGACTGAAGACATGACCAGCCTACTCATCGTCAGCTACGTTTGCAAACAACATTTTCACTGGAGATAGAGGTGAAAGCAGGACACTCGGCCCGGCAAACAGATACTCAAATTATACTCGAAATTTACTCGATGCCTTATTAATTTCAGTATATTTAAAGTAGCCTATGCCTCCTCTGTAGAAAATGGTTATATTACAAGACACAAATTCAGATAGCCTTCTCAGAGCCTGTTTTATTAAAGGTTTGAATGAATGAAATGTCTCTTGTATTAGAAAAAGAAATATATAATTATTACAGGTTTGAATGAATGAAATAATGTCTCTTCTATATTAAAAAAATAAATATATAAAGAAGAAATAACTAAAAGAAATACCTCCAAATTTAACAAAAATAGCTCTCACAAGCTTACAAAAACAAACTAACAAAATGTATCTTTAGTCTTCCTCTTTATCCTGTTTTTCTTCCTCATTCTCCTTGTTTGCCCATCTATGTTTTGCTTTAGAGCTGATCTTTCCCAGAAGTTTTGAAAACCAGGACATTTTCATAATAAAAAAAAAAAAAACCCAGCCAGGACAGGACGTGAAAACAGGACTGTTGGTCACCCTAACCTAGTCTAAAGTCTAGGTCTAGCGCGTACATTCAGATGCTATTTTAAGCGCGCATGCTTGGCCATAATACAGAATGAACAACGCGCATACACTGTAGATGATTCTCTCATCTACACAGATGCATTTTACTTTTTGCAAATGATACATTATTATAAGGAAAACTATTTAAACACGAGTGAAATCATTGTTGTGTTCATGACGATAGGAAAAATAGGCATAAAGCGTACACATTTACCCAAATTATTATGTGCATGTTTAACCGAAGCTAA